AAGGGCATGCTTGGGCCAGGCATTGCATTTGAACTATTTCCAGCTCTCACAAAACCCACAGAGAGGATAGCATTTGCCCACTCTTGCAGATGAGGATAGTCAGGCCCAGGTTGCTAACTCGCCCACAGCCCCACAGCTGCAGAGAGGCAGAGCAGGACTTGAACTTGAGTCTGGTGATTCTAAACACACAGGGCTGGCCCCCTCAGCACCAGGCACCTGCTCTCCCATTCTGAGCACCCCTCTCCTAAGGCATGGTGGCACCCATCTGCCCAAGGCTCTGCATATATCTGCCCAAGATCACAGGCATGTTCACATAAATGAACATACATGAAGGAAATGTGATTTAGAATAAAATTGCACTGGAAAATTTGGAATATACTAGGATAACTCAACAGAGCGTCAGCACGATTTGAAGCTGAGGCCCACTTGGTTGGTTGCTGGGGAAATTGAGGTGAACAAGCTCCAGTACTTGGCCTTGAGCTCACTGGTTGGTTGTGTGGGAGGCTGGCTGCAGGATCTGTGAAGTGCCTCCTATTTTTGGGGTGGAGGACTGGCATGCTGGAGGCAATCAGGGAGGGATCCCCAAAGAGGCAGAGCTTGAGTTGTTTCTGAAAAGACAGGAAATAGAAGTGACAGTTGTGGGGGGAGAATAGAGTTCTAAGAGCTGGAACAGCATATGTTAGAAGCTCAGCAGGATGCACAGAGTGGGGGAAACTGGGAGGAGCTCCCTGAGGGTGCCTGAGAAGACCAGAGACAAGAGACAGGCAGGACAAACATGGGCGGGTGAACTTGCGGAGGGTGTGCGTCTGACACGTTCTGACTTTGGTTGAGCTTCAGTTTTCTCAGATATCAAATGGGAAAAGTAAGGCCTTCTGTTTGGGGTTATTGAGGGATTAAACTAGTCATAGCCTAAAGCAGGTGGTACCAAGTCTGACACAGGTTCAGTAACTGGTTGTTGCTCTTGTAGCTATTGGTGATGATGATGGTCATCGTAACTGAGCGCCTTAGTTTCCTTCTAGTCTGTTTTTAGCATAGTAGCAAGGAGGATTCTGTGAAGACACGTGGCAGATCATGCCCCTCCTCTGATCTCAGTCTCCAGGGGCTCCATCTCACTCACGGTGAAAGCCGGGGTCCTTGTCGCAGTCTTCAAGCCCCTKCGTCACATCCCGGTCCCTGACCTCTCTCCCCGTGTGTCTGAGGCTGCTCCACTTCCTCACCCTAGCCCCGCTGGCCTCTATACTGTGCCTTGAATTTGCCAGGTTATTTGCGTCTTGGGGCCTTTGCATTTGCTGTTCCTTTTGCCCRGGGTGTTCCGGTTTAGTCAGCTTTTCATTACTGTGACCAAAAGACTGGACAAGAAAAACAGAGAGGAGGAAGAGTTTACTTGGGGCTCACGGTTTCAGAGGTTCAGTCAACAGACAGCTGACTCCAGGGCTCCTGGCCCCAGGGAGAGGCAGAGCATCGTGGTGGGAGGGTGTGGTGGAGGAAAGCAGCTCAGGACATGGCCATCAGAAAGAAGAGAGAGCTCTGCTCACTAGAGACAAAATATAAACCCCAAAGACATATCYCCCAGTGACCTGCTTCCTCCCGCCACAAGCGACCTGCCTATGGTTACCTCCCAGTTAATCTGATAGATCAGTGGGTCCATCCATTGATTAGGTCCTACCTCCCATAATCTGATCACATCACCTCTGAATATTCTGGCCTTTCCTCACACAGGAGCTTTTGGGGGACACCTCATATCTAAACCATAACATGGTCCTAYTCAGGTCTCCATACAGCTCCCTCCCTAGCCCCTTTCGGGCCTTTACCCAAAAGTCCTTGATGAGGACTATGGCTGTGCTATCTAAGATTGCAAACTGGCCTCTGTGCTACACCAGCTCCCCCCATCCGCCTCCCGGCCTGTTACCCCTTCTCAGCATTCATCAGCATTTATTTATTAGCATTTATCACATATATTTGCATTCCTTCTTGCTTGGTCCCTCCCACTAGAATCTAAGGCCCACCAGAGCAAGGCCTCTTATYTATTTTGTCCCCACTGTATCACTAGCACATAGCTTAGAATTGGTGCTTCAAAATAGTGCTGCTGTCTTTATATTATTCCAACCATAGGGTGGATGTGGGAATGGGGCCCATRACCAGGGTCTCCAGGGTGGCTTGGCTGCTTTGGGAAGCCATTTCCTCTAGTCCCTCTGTCTCCACCAGGAGCCCAGGGGCTGCAGGCAGCTCACAGACAGCCTTGGCCTCCCTGTAGGCATTTCTGCTTCTTTCAAAACACAGCCCCTCTGCTGCCTCTKGGGCTCCCTCCCACCAGGAAACTCAGTGAGCACTGGGGGCGGGTGGCTGGCACCCCACGTGCCATCTCATTCTGGAGGAATATCCCCATGTTGCAGAGCAGCGGGGTGTCTGGGAGCTCTGGAGCCTGGGTGGCCTGATTTAGATCCTGKGAGTGGGGCACATCTGCAGGCTCCTCCTCCAGCTCAGAACTCTGGGCTGAGGTCCTCTCTCCAAAGCCTCCCTGGCCCTGTGCATCTGCCCCAGGGAGCTGCTCTCTCCAGAGCTCTGGGCTGCATCCAAGCATGCAGCAAGGTACTGTGGTCCCTGGTCACTGCTGGCTTGGCTCCTCTTKCTTTAGGAGTAACTCCTAAGCCACTCTTGGGCTCTAAGATCCCTCCCCTTCCAAGAGCCCCAGTCTCAGCCCCTATTAAACCTTCCAGGCCCATGTCCTACATGCTGATTGCCTGGCCTATTGGAGTGGCTGACATTTCAACATATGTCCCCCGTGTGAACTTCAGGAGATACTGTGCTTCCATTCTGAGGTGTAGTTGATGGCACTGCAGGCTGGCAGGGGTGGGATTTTGGAATAGGCTGCCCTTTGATCCCCAACTTCTGCTAGGAGAGTGGAGACTCAATGGAGAGAGGGCAAATTCTGGTGTCAGATCAGGCTGGAAACCTGGCTTTACGACCTAGCTGTGCCACCCTGGGCAACTCACTTGCCCATCTGTAAAATAGGTCTGCAAAGGGGCCACCTTCCGAGGTGGCTGTAGGATTCAGTGCCATGAAGTATATGAAGCCCTTGGCTGGGGCCTGGCAGGAGTTGGGCTCAGTAGAGGAGGGGACCACTGCAGCAGGGTGCTGGGCCTGGCTCCCCCTGCTCAGGGCTGAGCTATCGTTGGCAGCTTCCAGCAGTTCCAGGCCCTGCACAAAGCACTGCAGGGCCAGATGGCCCCCTGAAACCTGCCCTGGGCATGAGGCAAAAGCTCTTYGCCCTGAGACCCAGCTTCTCTCTGGCTGTGGCTCTCCATGAAGAACTTGGTCCTCTGTTTATTCTGACTGACCAGCCAGGCCTTGAAGAAGTGGCCCAACCCAGAGCACATTGCCCATTGTGTTTGGCAGATCCTCTGACACTCAGTGACTTCAATTTTCCAGACTTTGAGGATCTTGATTTCCTTTGTCTTTGGTGAAAATCACTCTAAGGAGGGAGAGAGATCCAGATATGCATGTGCAGTTGTAARCAGGAGAATTTGCAAATCTCAGGGTATCAGGCCTGTGGGAACCTTTAGGGTGAAGAGGCCCACACTCTCTGTTAATGATGGTCCAGAGGTCCAGAGAGGGCTGTGACTGTCACACGTCACACATCTCTTAAGAAATAGAGCTGGGACTCAAATCCATGTCTCCTAGCTCCCTCCACTGCACCTGACCAGCCAGGGCAACCAGAGTTCTGTGATGCCGAAGTGAGCCTGACCCTCATTTCCTGCCTCTGGGTCCTGCTCTGYATCCCCAGACCAGACCACACCAATTAGGTCCCAAGGAGCCCGTGACACTGGGGTGGGGTGGTGGTGATGATCAAGGTGGTCTCTGATTTCAAACAGGCCAATTACAGGGAGGTGTGGGCTGCCTTCTGCCCACACTCTGCCCCTGCTGTTTCTGTGGSCTGGAATGTTCTCCCCTCAGCCCTATTGGTCAAAATACCCTCCCTCTGCTGGAAGCTTTCTCCACTCCCCACCAGCAGGAGGAGGACCAGGAACCATTCTTTGGGGTCCCATTTAGCACTTTGTTGTCACTGCTGTCACGAGCATGGCTTCTCATGTTGAAGTTGTTGGCTGCAGGCCGTGGCCTCCTGACTCTCCTTCTAAGAGGTTTGGGAGCCAAGTCAGTTTCGGAGGCTACAGACAGGGAACCAGGGATCCCCTGTGTCCCCAGCAGAGCTCACAGGTCAAACCTGTCTGCTGCTGAGCCTCTGCGACTGCGTCCTCCCCAGGCCTGGCCCTCCTCCCTTGCCATCTTACCYCACCACATCCTGATCTTCCCCAGCCTGCTGGCTGCGAGCTTGCCTTCTCTGAAAATCTTATCAGATACTTTTTCCCCCTAGTGCTGGGGATCAACCCAGGGCTGTGAGTGTGCTAGGCAAGCGCTGTGACACCGAGCTACACCCCAGGCCAACAGATACTTTGAAACTAGAGCCTGGGTCTTCCCACTGACAGGTTTTGCACAGATGCTCACAAACAAACCCTCATTTCCTCAGGAGGCCTGTAGAGGAGAAGGGTGCAGGTCCTGTGCCCTGGCCTGTTGCCTGCTCAGCCAGCCAAAGTCTACTGTTTGGTTGATTTATTCTGCCTTGAAAATAAAAGGTAGGAACATGTGGCACCCGTGTGACTAGGCTTTTTGACTCCAGGAACGTCACCTGGCTCTGGACTGTGATATATGCACCGAAGCCTGCCACTCTAACCTTTCACACACTTCCCAAGCGGTTCCTGTGGGAGTGACACCTCAGAGCCCCCTTCAGAGCTGGATTCCAGGGATTCTAGCTGGATTCTCCTCCTAGCACAGACCAGAGATCGCACCAAAACCCAAAGAGCGTTTCCACATAGGACTTGCAGCTGACACCTGGTGTGTTTTCTGTTTACCCAGCGCTGTGACCGGAGCCTGCAGAATTTATCACTCGAACCATGTGTCTAAAGTCATACAGCTACAAAGCTGCCAGCTGGGACTKCAATCAGGCTCTCTCTGACCAGAGACCCTTGGAAATGACCACTCTGCTGTCCAATGACCTCTGCCCCTAACAACAACTTCTAGAATAAGGCCTCTGTATTTGTAGAGGCTCCAGCCCAGATTACGAAGGGCTTAAATGCCATCAGGGTGGCATGCTCCCACTTCCATTAGCAGATGGATGCCCAACCTCAGAGATTTTGCTGGGAGGAAATGGTTCCTGCCACTAAGCCTAAAATTCCCAGGGATTCGCCTTATTCCATTGCATTTCACATAATTACCCCTCTCCTGTCATCCCCCGAACTTCCCCTCTTCAGAGGGCTTCCCACCCTTAGAGACTGGCATGCAATTATCCTTTTCCATTTAACTTGGCAGAGCCCAGACTGTGGGTCTTTTCATCTGTTATAATTATTCCATTTCCCCTGTTTCTGCATTGTTTTAGATATTTCATCTCTGAACATCCTCCAATTTCAGGGTATCTTTCTGGAACAGTGGTTGCCAAGAACCCAAATGCTACAGCCAGGAAAGATCTCATTAGGAGCAGAGAGAGGGAGGGAATTCCTTACTTGAACAGAGTTGTGACCTGGCAATCACAGGGCCTGCTGGAAGGTTCTACTACTTCCTTTCCTTGATACCCAGCACTGACCACCCAGATACCGGTGTGAGGGCAGAGGGGGCTTACCACATGCCCTCCTGGGCACAGAGTGGGTGGATAGAGTCCTCTGAGCAGGGATGTGGGTTGGAATCTGTCTGCCTGTCTCTCATCTCAACCTTCTTTCACTTCCCTTGTTCAGTTATTTATTTATTTATTTCATGGTGATTTATTGAGTAGCCGCCATGTGCCTGGCCTGGAACGAGGCAGCAGAGACACTCTGGTAGGCAACAAAAGCAGGTGGCCCCTGCCCTCAAGGAGCTTATATTCTAGTGCATGGGAAAGACAACAGACAGCAGAGCAACAGGTTAACGTGGACAGTGGAAGCACARGGAGGGCAAGGGCAGAGTCAGGTGAAGGAGGGAAACACAGGGGCTCAAGTCAAGTAGACCCCAAAAGGGGTCTCCAAGCAGATGACATTGAAGCTTGTCACATTGAAGCAGGTGACATCAAGGTAGGAAAGATATGAGGAGGTGGGTTTCTGGGAGGGAGGACAGGATGTACAAAGCCCTGGGCAGGAAAGAGTGACTGAGTAGAAGGGTGGGTGGAAGATTCATGTGCTTGGGCTGAGGTTGAGGGGAGGTGGCCCAGGCCAGGAGGGGCTTCCTGTGCTCTAGGTACCTGGGTTTCCTACTGACTCTCTGTGTGACCTGAACAAGTGACTTAGTTAAGTTCCTGTTATATCCCTTTATTGAAATGAAAATAGTAATCCCCCCGCCTCAGCTTGGTAGGAGGTTTTAGTGGGGTCTGCTGGGAATGGCTGGGCCTGGCACAGGGGGAGCTCTTTGGAAAGGGGGACCCTGCTATTTCTGTTTTCACCTCAAATTCCTCAAGAAAAAACACCGGATGTCTTGGTTCTCTCTCCACCCATCGCTGCCCTCACTCCACCCCACCCCTGCCCTCACTCCCTCTCCTTCCCAATGTGGGGCTCTCCCAGGGCCGCTGGCACACAGACAGAGCAGCTCAGACTCTAGTCCATTTGCACACCATGTTGTCTGAGCTCTGTGGGTTCCAGATGTGAYGCAACTGGCAGAGACTATGCCCCTATAGAGGGCTGGCACCTGGCCTTCATCTCACTTGGATTCTCACTCCTTTTTAAATTGTTAAATAATAATACAGTGAATACCCTGGGTACTCCCAGCCCCATTCAGTTTAAGAATAAGAATGTTTCCTTCCCATTCAGAGTCCCCTGKATGCTGGTCCCTCAAGCTTGCTTAGAGCTAACCATTTCCTTGAATTTTGTGTGTATCTTTTGTTGCTTTCTTTGTATTTTCCCACTTAGGTTAATTTGCTTAAGTAACATATTGTTTTAGCTTTTACATGTTTTGAAACTTTACGTAAATGCTACCACATTGTATATATTCTGTTACCATTTGCCTTTTTCTTCAACATTATTTTCCTGAGATTCATGCAGGTTGTTATTGCTACATAGTATTCCATAGTGGGAATAGATCATGATTGATTTATTCTCTGGTCTCAGAATATTTGGGGTATTTCAGTCATTTTTTTATTTAAAAAATACTGTTACTATGAACTTTCCCATTCATAACTGGACACACATATGCAGTGGTGTCAATCTGCAACTAGAATTGCTGGGTTGTGACCTAAGTTGTTTTCTAAAGAGCCTGTGCCCACTGACATTCCCACCAGCAGAGCAGAAATGTCCATTTTGCTATCCAATGCCTGAATTGTGTGTCTTTTTAAGTTCTCTCGACCTAGAGGGTGGTACCCCACCGTATTCTCCTTGATTTTCTAGTGTGCTCCCCGTCTTTTGGCTTTGCTGAGATTCAGGCTTCTCTCTCCTTCAGAATCTGTTTCCATCCCACTTTCTCCCYTCCTGGCCTATGGTAAAGAAGGTTCACCTTCCTCGTGTATCTATCCCAGGCCTTTTAATGAGGCAGTAAAGAGGGTGAGAAGCCAATGTGCTYAGGACATTGTAGGGAAAGGATGGGAAAAGCCTGGTTCTTGGGGACACTGGTGAGCCACTGGGCTACTCCTGGAGCTGCTGCTCTTAAGATTTCTTGTTATGTTAATCAAATRTCTTTATTGCTCAAATGATGTTCATGGGATAATTATTTGCAGCCTAGGATGGGGATGGGGCTTTGTATTGATGTCTTTTGCTTTGTCTGTTGTTCTGTTCATCGGCTGCTTCTGTACTCCTCCAAACTGCATTCTCTAAAGACTCAGTAATATAATTCCTGCCAATCAGATTCCTCTTGAACCTTCTATAACACCTGACAGTCTTCATCCACCCTCTGGTGACTTCTTGGGCTTCAGTGACAGTCCAAGAATCRGGGTCCTATTCTCCTTACACCAACCCCTCCTCATCATCGCCACCTTTGGGGAACATCTCCCGAAGACCAGGAGCTGAAGTTGGCTCTTCCCAGAGATGATTTTTCTTACTCCTTAGACAACTTCTACGGCTTATGTATTACTTTACAGGGTGGAGCCTAGGCGCATAGAGGTCAGTTAACTTGCTCAAGGCTGTCTAGCTAGCAGGTGACACAGCTGGGATTTGGACTGAAGTACCTCCAACCTCAATTGTGCCATCGTGTCCAAGGCCGGCCCGGCAGCTGGCCCTTTCCTCAGAGCTCTTACTTCCCCTCTTCACAACTATTCTCACGRCATCAACTAGAGAGAAGTTTTCACCGGTGGTCTTGCACTGCCCCCTTCATCTTTAAAAATCCCTAAGCTCCTCCTCTCCTTTGCATCTGGCCTGGGTAGGACTTGTAAGTCACGAGATCTAACCTGCCTTGTGATTCTGGCCCTGGTGTTTCCCAGCTGTGTGTCCTCTCTTTCTTCACCTCCTGTCCTTAGTCAGAAGCAGCAGCCCTTGGAGGCTCTGGGTAAGATTTCTTGCTTCTGTCCCTTGGCCTTTATTCCCAGGCAGTGGTCCTTGTCTCCTGCACCCTGGACTAGCACAATAGATTCCTTTGTGCTGTGGATTCCTGCTTCTAATCCGTCCCTGAGATTGCTCCCCCACAATACATGGTCCCTTATGCCCCTCCCCGTTGCCTGTGTGACCAAGTCCTGGCTRTTATGGCTCTTCTGTTACCCATCTCCAGTCTTGTTTCTTGACAGAGTGGTTCAGCTGCGTGGTCTGCTGTTTCCAGTTTTCCCTCCACCTTCCTTGTCCTTAGGCTGCCTGCCACCCTCTGTCACCCTCTATGCATTCATCTTTCAGTGCCTACCTCTAGCCCCTTGGATCTGGAAGAGGCTCCAGGCTCTAGGATCACTGGAATCGCTCCCTTCTTAGCTATCTTATAACTCTTGTTGTCTCTGCGATCACTGAGGAAGCTGTCAGCTGCTCACTGTGTCCTGGTATCTCTGTTTCCAAAACAAGATGGTAAAGGCCTTCTTAATTGCAAACACATCTCTCCCCAGTCAGAGGGTCCTCACTGGTGAACTGTATGGGGGTGTTCCCTCTCCTGTAAGTCAGTCTCCCTCCATAAACAAGCATTGACTGAGCATCTACTATGTTCCCTAGTTCCCTATGTGCCAATCTAGGCCCTGGGAATGCAGCTGAGGAGATAAGTTTCTTGCCCTCAAAGGGCTTAAGGTCTAACAGGGAAGACAGGAAATACATTGCAGGGCAGGTCCAGGGAGCTCCTAACAGGGGCACCTAAACATGGCTAAGGTGTTGTCGAGGGTTTGAATGTGTATATCAGTCAGCTTTCCACTGCTGTGACAAACGACTGAGGCAAAAACATAAAAGGAGGAAAGGTTTATTTGGGTTCATGGTTTCAGAGGTATCAGTTCATGGTTGCTTTTTGGGCCTGTGGTGAGGCAGGATACCATGGGATGGCATGTGGCAGAGGAGAGCTATTCATCTCCTGGCAGTCAGAAAAGCAGAGGGATAGGGAGCAGGGATAGAGAGAGAGAGAGTGCCCAGGGTTCCAATATCCCCTTCCAGGGTATATCCACCATGACCCACTTCCTCCACCATGGCCCCACTTCCTAAAATTTCCACCACCTCCCAATAGTGCCACCAGCTAGAGACAAAGCCTTTAATCCATGAGCCTTTAACATTTAAGATTCAAGCCATAACAGTGTGTACCTTCTAAAGTTCAGGTGTAGAATCTTAATGGCCAATGTGATGGTATTAAGAGGTAGAGTCTTTAAGGGGCGACCAGGCCACGAGGATTCCTCCCTTGTGGATGGATTAAGGTCTTTATAAAAGAAGAGTCACAGTATTTGACTCTCTTGCCCTTCTGCCATGTGAGGACAGAGAATCCACCCCCCCTCTCCGCCCCAGGATGAAGCACCAAGGTGCCATCTTGGGAGCAAACCAGCACCTTGAACTGACCATGCCCGCACCTTGGTTGTGGGCTTCCCAGCCTCCAGAACTGTGAAAAATACATTTATGTTCTTTATAGATTTTTCAAACTCAGGTATTTATTATCGGAGCACAAAATGTATCAAGACATCAAGGAAGTAAATTTTAAATTAAGACCTGAAGAAATTTAGCCAAGTGAAGAGGCAGGTGAGGAGGAGGGAAAGAGTGGAAGAATGAGGCCCAGAAATGAGAAGGAACCTGAGGAAGTACTGGGGACAAAATCCACCAAATTATGCTCTGTTCATGTATGAATATACCATGGTGAATCCCTATATATATATATACACATATACATATACATATACACACATATACCTATAATGCACTAATTGAAATAAAAATAACAGGAGATCAGCAGAGTAGAGGAAGCCGTTTGGGGGAGGGAGGAGAAGAGGGTAAGGGAAGGTACTGGGGAGTGAGACTGATSAGATGATGTTATGTGCATGTACAAATATGGCATAATGTCCCATTATTAGGTCTGATTGTAATGCACCAATACAAACTTAAAAAAGAAGTTAGAAGAGGATACAATTGAGGAACTGAAAAATAAAAGTCCCCTCTGGCTGTGGCGGGTGTGGAGAGTGTAAGGTGAAGGGTGACAGGGGCTGGGAAGGACAGGCAGGGCCAGAGGGGCTGGACCCAGGATAAACGGGAGCCCTGGGCATTGTGGCCTGTGTGTKTGTGGGGGGGTGACTCTCATTATCCAAGTGGTACTACRTCCAAGGAAATATCAGCGGCCCCAAGGCAGAAAGAGCTAACAAGAGGCAAGGCATGGAGAGGTGGCCTATAGAACTCTGAAGGCTGTGGAAGCATTCTAACCTCTGGAACCAGCCCTGTGACCTGGCCAATGGTCAAGAATTCCAAAAGCTCTATGGAGCTTGCCAGGCAGAGCACGGTAAGATCAGAGCCATGYGACTGGTGTCTAGAAAGCTCTGTGGGTAGCATGGTTCAAGAAAGGCTTCCCAGGACTGATGGGCTTCCAGATGTACCTGCAGGGTGGGAGTCCTGGTCCTGGGGTGGGCAGCTGGGGTGTGGATGGTCAGTGCCAAAAGCAGCACCCCGAATATAATCATAACTGTGGTTAAGGCCTCTGACTCTGGCACCCATGGTGGCCCAGTTACTTCTGGAGGAAGTCCCTCTGTGTCCCCTTTTCACAGCAGGACCTGTCCTTGGGAGGGTGGGGTTGGCAAAGGCCAACCTCACATTTACCTCTTTGCCAGCCTCGACCAACCTAAGAAAATATTTACTTTCTTTCCAAGATGACTGAACCGACTTGTCCAGTCATGCAAAGCCAACAAGGGAAATCTGAAAGGAGCTCTTTGTTAGGTCTCCTCTCCCTTTGTCCTGAAGAATTTTGTATCATCTACAAAATGAAATTTTCATTTATACTCCTTCCCTTTTAGCAAGTGTGCTGCAAAATGACTCGTTCTAACAGTATCTCAAAGAAACCACTTCTTTCTTTCCCCTTTCCAGAGAGTTTGGCTTGAATTAATTCAGCAAAAATMAAAAAATGAGGCAGATATTATTCTAGGCATTTGGGATGCAACAATGAGGAACATAACAAAGATCTTTGCCCAAGGCAAGACAAACAGAAGAGATAATAAGTAGAGTTTGCTAGAAAAGGTGATCACTGCTATAGAAAAAGTACAAGAAAGGGATCTAAATAGAGTTATCTTTTCCATCAGCCAACCCACCTAAGTGGGAAGGAGACGGGAAGAAGCTTCTGTCCGTCCCTATAATCCTTTTGTCCTGGCTTTAATTTGTGCTACTTAGTAGTACATGACAGCAGAATGCATTTCAATTCATCTACACAAATGGAGCACAACATTTCAATTCTCTGGTTGTACATGGTATAGAGATGTATCATTCATGCAATCATACATGTACCTAGGGTAATGATATCCATCTCCTTCCACCATCTTTCCCATCCTCATCACCCCCACCCCCTTTGCCCAATCCAGAGTTCCCTGGTTGAAATTTTAAACTAGTTGCATGTGTTACTTTGACAACAATGACAGTTACGTGCAACTAGTGGTGCAACTCTATTGGGAGGTGAGGGTGGCCGTGTGAGCCAAGTTCTGTTCTGCCGCTGCAGAAAGCAGGGCGGGGTTTCTCAAGTCAAGAAGCAGAAGTGCAAGCGCATCATTTAACAACACAAAGATAACTATCAGGAGAGTTTAAAACAGAAGCCATACAAGAATAAAAAAGTCATTTCTTCTGGGGGATAAATGACAGGGTGGGAAGGTGTAAGAGAGTAGGTGGGGCCTCTTGCCTTTTCTTATAAACTGTTCTGTTTGTCAGGGTTTTWAAAATAGTAGACATGTGTTACTTTGAGAATTAAAAGAAACATCCTGCAAAGCCAGAGGGGGTCCATGGAGGGGAGAGGTTCCTCAGGGGCTTCTTGGAGAATCAGGGGGTAAGGAGGTGGTATTGCCAGCAAATTTTCTCTCCATTTCCTCCAAACCCACTTTCTTTCATTTGTTTTATCTGTCCCTCTTTCATCTGAGATTTTTGTTTGAACAAAGGGTTCTGCAGCTAAAATTGGTTTGAACTCTGTGATCCCTCTTGGCACTTGTAATTGATGATGCCTTTTAAGCACCTGTTACCCTTTATGCTCGTGCCTATTTATTTCCTGAAATAATTTCCCTGGTTTAGTCAGAAGCCTTGCTGTGTTCCCCCAGTTGGCTATGGTTTGAGGTGATTGGCGAGCTTGCTGGCTGGTTGGCTTGATATAGACGCCGAAACTCCGCAGTCAATCATTCCTGATTGCCACTCCATTGTGCCTCTGGAGCCTCTATTAGGATGGGGGTCCCTTGAACGTTCTGCTTGGCCTCCAGCACAGGGGCTGTTTTAAGACTGGTAAACATTTTGCCAATAGTTCCCTGATGTATCTGCAGTCTCTCCTGGGGGAGCTGTGAATTCTACTTATAGAACTTTGCCTCCCACTCTTTTTCCTGGGGGAGGGRATGACTATGAATGAAGTTAAGAAAGGCAGGCAACCCCCCTTTAGCTTAGTCACCTCTCAGTGACTCCACTTGCAGACATGTGTCATGGTCTGCCTGCTCTGGTACGATTTTTAGAGCAGGTCCCTCCATTCATGTTCCTGGAGCCTTTGCAGTGGTTTCTGTTTCTGCCTGGCAGCTGCGTCCCTGAGTTGGAAGTTCCGGGTGCTCTGGGTTTTCAGGCACTGGTCAAGCCTTCTTGCTTTGCACACTACTCCTTCATCAGCTGCCTGGGGGTCTGACACTAATCCTTGAAGGTCATGCTCAAGTGCCATGGAGCTTTGTAAAAACCTTTGCTGGACCCCAACTCAGAGGAGTCTGTCTTCACCTCAGCACTTGTCATGAACCCTAGTTGTCTTCAACCATCTTCTATTGCTAGTGACACAATTCCACAGTCCAGAAAAGTTACAAAGAAAAAAAGTTTATTTTGGCTCATGGTCCTGGTCCAGTTTCAATAGGCTATATCTGGTGATGGCCTTCTTTCTGGCAGAGTCCTGAAGGGGTGTAGGACATCATATGGCAAGGGACAGGGATGCATGAGAGACCTGGCCCAACTGGCTTTAAGAGCAGACCGGCTCTCACGATGACCCATTAACCCATTAATCCATTAATTGCATGAGTCCTAATCACCTAACCACCTGGTCCCACTTCTCAATCTCTCATAATGGGGGATTAAATTTTAACTTGAGTTTCAGTGGGGACAGGCCATATCCAAACACTAGTACAGGTCATCACTAGATTCCATTCTGGTGTCCTTGTGGGGGTTGGGAACAGCCCATGGTCAACCTTCCATCTGGCATACAGTGGGTGTTCAATAACTGCTCACTGAGTGAAATGAAGCACGTTGGCTGATACCTTTTCTGTGCTTTAGGAAATGCCACTGGACCTGGAAGAATTGTCACCGTGGGAAGATCTCCGGCAAACCATCTCCATGAATCCTCTCCAATTTTCGTCTTGAAAGACCCTGTTTGGAAGAGTCAGGTAATGTCTGGAGATAGCCTCCTGTACTCGAGGGGTCCTTCCTGGGGAGAGAGAATTAATGCCACCGTTTTTTACTGATCAGAGAACTGAGCCTCCGAGTGGATAAGACTCGCTTATAATCACATAGTAAATAACAGAGCCAGAGGGTGAAACTCATGTCATCTGGCTCCAGAGACAGCATTTCCTACCACATACTTCCTTGTAGTCTCCACAATGTGCTGTGAGATGACACCATTTAAGACTTTTCCAGACCACAATTTCCCCTTCAAATATTCATAAATTTGTTTTCCTTCCAGACCCAACTGCTGAGTGTCTTCCTCTCTCTCCTGCTTTTTCTCCATTTCTCTGAGGTTTGCTAGCTCTTTCCCTGGCTCCTCTGCTGTCTGCAGGAGTTCATTTTTCTCTCATCTCTGTCCAGATAGCCGGATTTCCAAATCTTTCAGTTGGTTTCTTTTTCTGGCTGTGGTCCTTTTTTGGAGACTTTCCAATGCAGCCACAGATTGGAAGCTGATAACAGTGAATTCGTTAGTAGATCTTCTTTGATGTTATTTTGTGGGCGAACTCATTAATTTATGACAAAAAAACATCAAAGAGCTGGGCTTCTGCACAGGACTTGGTTGTCCCACGGCATCTGGATAATAATGATTAGTCAGATTAAATCACAAAGACCTTTCAGCCTCAACTGTTAGAGTCCAGATGACTGGAGTGTGGGAATATCCCATCCTATCGTATCTCATCGCAGTCTGAGTCAGCATAATATGGAGCTCTCTCCACTCTCCCTCGCTTCCCCTTTGACGCCTCCAAGACTTGAGGTCCATCAGCATTGATAACCCCCTGGAGGCAACGTAGGGAAAAATGCTGAGGCTGTTGAAATCTCTTCCAGTCGTAGAGCTGGAAGTTGAAGAGGATCATTTGTCCTTGCATGGATAATCTCAAGGCCTTCTATAGAGTCCTAGTCCTGTAATATCAGTGGGAAGAACTCTTGGGCTACACAGGAAAGTCCAGCACTAGGCTTGGCATTTGTCAAGCTTCCTAATCATACCAGTTGAATGTACATGTGCAGAAAGGTCGGGATGCATGAATAGTCTCTGGCTAGTTGAAGTGGAGCCAAGGAGTAGAGCTCAGGTTTTTGTTTATACTCACAATCTCCTAACCAGCTGATATCTGTTGCCATTTACCAAACTGCCTCTTTCACAATCCATGGTGGAAAATTGGCCAAGCTCCTCTTTAGACCCATCTCCTCTACGTTTGCCTGGATCTCATTCTCTGTTGACCTATTAAGGATTTGCTCCTGCAATGAACCATCTTGGAATCATCAGTTTCCCTCTGCACTAGACCATTCCTGCAAACATACGAATACGCTCCAATGTCTCCCTTCTTAGAAGGAACCTCTCCTGCTCTCATTTCTTCTTCAGACCATCATGCTGCTCTTGACTCCCTTTACAGGAAAATGCCTTTCGAAAGTCTGCATGCTCAGCCTACTTCCTCCCCTCCATTCTAATTCTCAAAGTCAGTCCTACTTCCTCCCCTCCATTCTAATTCTCAAAGTCAGTCTAATCAGGATCTCATGACATCACTAAAACAGCTCTCCTCAAGGTCACCAGTGACCTTCCTGCTGCCAAGTCCAATAGTCATGTCTCAGGCCAGAGGTAATGCCCAGACGCAGCCAGCAAGGCTCTTCCCAGCTTCTTTGCTGGGTTCTAGGGTTCTGTACTCTTGGGTTTCCTACTTCACTGATATTTTTAGTCTTCTTTTATCTCCTAGCTTATAAGGGACAAAGGGTCCAGGATCAGTTATTGAACAACTTTTGTAGCTTTTCTATTCCTTAGATGCTCTCATGGTTTAAAAAACCACTCACAAGTGACAGCTAAGGTTTTACCCCCAACTCCTTCTTTCTCCACTACTTTGTAGTAACATACACATTGAACTTTAACCCTGAGTCAACTAAATACAACCACAACACTGCATTTCCCATCCCTTCAGGCCCACTCTGCCCTTAGTATCCCCTGTCAGTAAACAGAAGCTCCTTTCTTCTACTGGCTCAGACCTCAACTGACTTTCATATCTCACATCCAATCTGTCTGCAGATCCTGTCAGACTACCTTCAGATTGTATCTAGAACTTGGTCACTGCTTACCACCTCCATGACTCTGCCTATTCTAAGCCACCACCACATCTTGCCCAGACTAATCCAACTGCCTCCTAATTGATCTCACAACTTCTAGCCTTGTCTCCTCTCCAATTCTAGCATCCAGAATAACCTTAAAAAAAGAAGAAGAAGAAGAAAAAAACTTCAATTAGATAATGCCATGCCTGTATTCTTCAAAGGTTGGCCATCTCATTTCCTGAATAGGATCTAGAATCCTTTAACAGGACTTACAAGGCCCTATAAGACCTGAACTGTCTCTTTGATTTCAATCCCCATCCCTCTTTCCCTTGTCTAGTCCAGTCTAGGTTTTGTATTTTATTTAGAGACAGGGTCTCAGTGAGTTGTTTAGCACCTCACAGTTGCTGAGGCTGGCTTTGGACTTTCAATCCTCCAGTCTCACCCTCCTTTCTGGGATTATAGGTGCCCACTGCTATGCCTGGCGAGACACTGGTTTTGAGCTTTGAACATACACACTGCTTCCCAGGACCCTTTACTCCTATATACCTAAATGTCTATTTCTCTTTCTTCCTTCAGGCCTCTGTCCAAATTTCACTTTTTCAAAGGAGTTTCCCCTAACTCTTCCTTCTAACGTAACCTCCCTCTATCACCATCTCTTTAGCATGCCTTGCTTTTCTTCCTAGCAATGTTCACATTCAATACATATTTTTACTTTTTTGCTTCTATGGTTTAGATTGTCACTCCCATTATTATATGGAAGTTCAATAACAGTCTTTGTATATTTAGTTGGGATTGTATCCCAGCTTCCTGGAAGAGCCTGGTACACAGTAGGTATTCAACAAATATATGTTAAATGAGTGGATTTCTTGAATGGCCTCATCCTGGCCTCTAGTCACTGGGTGAAGAGAATAGTTTTCAAATGGTTGTCAAATTAATGTGGTAAAAATCAAGTGGGAGGAACTTCTAGGTGTACATGGAAGTCAACAGATAATGTGTTCATCATCTGTTACCTGAGACCATCATGGGATTCACAGATGGTCTTGGTTTGCTCTGTGATGCCAAATCATTTACCAAACTATAAGGTATAATGAAACATCTGCCTTTAACTTCTATGGTATGTCACTTATCTTCTGGGACTCATTGTGCTCATCTGAGTTCCTGCTCTGTCAGTTTATGATCTACAAGATACTGGAGTGAGGCAGTACAGTTAGGAGGGCCAACTACACAAGCTCTGGAACTTGACTGCCTATTTGAATCCTGCCTCCAGTTCTCACAAGTCATGTGACCTTGTGCAATTTACTCAGTTTCCTTATTTTTTTTTTTTTTTGTACCAAGGATTAAACTCAGGGGCACTAGACCACTGAGCCACATCCCCAGTCCTATTTTGTATTTTATTTAGAGACAGGGTCTCACTGAGTTGCTTAGCATCTTGCTTTTCCTAGGCTGGCTTTGAACTTGCGATCCTCCTGTCTCAGCCTCCTGAGCTGCTGAGATTACAGGTGTGTATCATCATGCCTGGCAGTAATGAAAAGATAACAAGAGGGCTGGAGTTGTCGCTCAGTGGTAGAGTGCTTTCCTAGCAAGTGTAAGGCACTGGGTTCGATTCTCAGTGCCATAAATAAATAAATAAATAAATAGAAAAAATAAAGGTCTATTAACAACTAAAAATAGATTTTTTAAAAAGATAACAAGAACATGTAACTCAAGGAGTAAATCTGAGAATTATATAAGGTAAAACATAAAAAGCATCTAAGATATGGTTTGGCACAAGTGAGTGCTCAATAAATGTCAGCTATTAAAAAATGAAAAGTTCTGGGGGAAATTTCCATTAATGTGTTTTAGGGGTACCGGACGACCCTAGATTCTGAGAGAATGTGGAATTTTAAAAGATGTGATGATGATATTATGACTAGACTGGAAAATGCTCTTATTATTAGGACACACATGGAGAAGTAATTTAGGATAAAACCTCACAATATCTGTCACTTTCTAATAATCTAGTCAAATATATATCTATGATCCTACAACTATCAAATGTGGCTAAATGTTGCCTATTGTTTAAGCAGGGGATAGTATATTCTGTGTTTTTCTTTCAACTTTTCTGTGTGTTTGGAAATTTCAAAATAAAAGGTTGAAAGAAAAAAGAAAGGGCACTCGAAATGGGGCAGTCCAACACATATTTTAGAGAAGGAGGATCATGAGCTCAAGAGGTAAGCCCAAGGTTGAACAACCAGAGAAGTCTGGACCAGAACCAGGTCACCTGGCTGCTGTCTCCCCCTTGGTGTGGGCTCCTGCTGTTGACACCCAGGCAGCAGTGGGAAGCAGAGGAACACACTGAGCCCCCTCAAGAAACCAGGGGTGTTATGGATGTGTGAGAGGGCATCTGTGCTGGGGTTTCCTTTTTGTTTATTAAGCAAATAGACCATTTAGTTGGAAGGTGTGTTGTGGAAAATGTGCAGGCTGCACAGGACTAGACTGTCACCCTTAGAGAGTGGGCATACCAGTTTGGCACTTTCCGCCTGTGGTTTTTGTGTGTAAACTCTGGGACTGCAGAGGAGCCAGGGCCAGAAGGAGAGACCTGCTTCCATTCTGGCGCTCCATAGAGAAGGGACCCCATGGTATAGCTGAGGACTAAGTGCAGGCACATTTTAAAGAAAGGAAACGATTCTTTGCGGTCTGCAGCATCTTCCTCTAGCTCATGGGGTTCAAAGCGGTGGGAAGGACAGGGGAGAGGAGGGAACATCCATGCAAACTCTGGTGATGTGGGGAGCACACAGATGAATTGGGAGAGCAAGAAGACAGGAAGAAAAGAAGAAGAGGAGGAGGAGGAGGAAGCCCAAAGTAGGGTGGGGGAGGGGTTAGAAGCAGGGCGCTAGGGGTGGTTGGAAAGGTGGAGACCGCACCTTGCGGAGGGGTGGGACGCGGGTTGGGGGGGGGACCGGCTGCAAAAAGGTTGGGTCGGTCAGCCCTCGCAGGCTGGAGTGCAGTGCCCCAGAACATTCCTGCCTCCCTCCTCTGGGTCTGGAAGTCCCTGGAGACGGCGGTAGCGAGCGCGGAGCTCGCGGCACTCTTACTGGGGGGAGGGCAGGCGGGAGGGGCGGGGCCTCTGGGCGGGGCGGGAGCTGAGCCGGTGGCCGCGGGCGGGGCTCCTCTCCGGCGGGCGCCGGAGTCTGGGGGCCGCGGCTTCCCCCTCCCGGCCCGCGGAGGCGCTAGCCCCTCCTCCCCACGCCGCCCCCATCCCGCCGCCGCCGCTGTCAAAGATAAACCGGGCCATTGCCTGCAGGAGCCGTGGCAGCAGGCGATCGAGCGGCGAGGAGCCTCCGCCGCGGCCTCGCCTCCCCGGCGCAGCACCGCATCAGCACCGCGGACAGCACAGCGCCCCCGCTAGGGACACCACCGCCCACCTGCCTACCTGCGCCCGGGCCCGCGGCGTCCTGATCAGCACCACGGACAGAGCCCGGGCCCCCGCTTGCCACCCGCAGCCCACCCGCTCCTCGAGTCAGCACCGCGGACAGCCCCGTTCGACCTGCTCCGCGGCAGCCTGGGAGCCTCCAGCGACCCCGAAACATGGCTACCGAGGTAGGGGCGAGTACCTGGCCCGCAGGCAGTGCCCTACTCCGCCACCTCCGCTAGGGGCGGACCGGCAGGAGGCGGGTGAAGTGGGGGTAGCGGTGGCTCCCTGGGTAGAGTCCGGAGGGAAGAGGTGGGGTGGAGTGGCAGAGTGGAAGACTGGGTCTCTAGTTAGGGCTCATCTCACCCCAGGCGTGTTAATCTTCCCACGCACCCCTGGGCCCTGAAGTGTCCACTTGTTGGCATTAGTCTCAGGGTTCCTCCAGGACCCTTGGCTGGGGTTTCCCCTTCCCCTAGACTAAGGTTCCCGCTTCCCTAGAGGGTTGGAAACGCGTGTGTGCGTAAGGGGAGGGAAGGCAGCCGGATGCTGTTGCTATGCGGTGCTGCCTTTCAGATCCTGAACCCAAAGCTTGGCTAAGGGAAGACAGACTACCCCTACATCTGCATTTTCTTTAGAAGAGGGAGGGGACAAAGACATCCTCAGACCCCAAACCCAAATGATTGTTTTAAGTGAGCTTCCTGCACCAAACTCCACTTTGGTGAACCACCTTTTCTTGCTTTTCCACCCCATTTGAGTTGTGTGTCCTAGGGTGTCCACCTTTGTCCTGTTTGATGGGAGATGCTGCCTTCTTCAGGGTGTGCCTATAGGCTGAAACAAGGGACCTGTTACTAAAGGGAAGAATCTTGGTGCAATGCTTAAGAGATCAGGAATTACCCTGTCTACACCTAAGGATTACCCCTCTTCCCCTTTATTTGGTGAGGCAGATAGGAGCTCTTTATGTTCCCACTTTCTAAGTGATAAAGCTGACATATGGAGAGGGGGAGGACCCATTTGATACTCACACAGCATGTCAATAGCAGAGCTGAAAGTTTCTTCTTTTGAATTTTTGGAGTGGACTTAGGACACCAGGGTCTCCCTGGTTCTGATGTTGACTTCTTTTGTGGTGTCTCCCCATTTCCAGCCCTGCTGGAGCCCAGCCAGGAAGAGAGCAGAGGCCTTTGAATGATTCTGTGCAGTGCCTCTGGGCATTCTGGCTAGCAGCGTGACATCAATACCAAGTGCTATTGTTGTTATTCCACTGAAGTCTGCTCCACAGAGCAAGGTGCTGTTGCTTGGTATTGTTCGGCTTTCTGACCAGGCACAGGGTTAGCTAGCAGAGGCTCTTGTGCACCTAGGACCCAGTGTGGGGGTAAGCCCTGGGCAGATCTTGGAGCTTGGCTTCTAGAGTGGAGGAATGCAGTGCTCAGAATCTACCAGACACTGAGAAGAGCAGGAAGAACAACAGGAGAGATGGCCAGATTGCTGGTCTCCTTCCAGATAGGGCTGCCAGACTGCAGCAGAGGAAAGTTCAGCCACCTGAGCATGGCTGGGTCAGCAGTGTGGGCAGAGAAGCAGACTGCCTGTGTGATGTGATCTGACAGCTTCAAACAGGCCCATCTGTCCTAGCCTCTCTCCCTCTCAGGACTGCTGTGGCCCACAGATTCCAGCCAGCAGGTTCACATCGCTAAGTTGAGACCAGGTTTCCAGGAGGCTGCTGTTAGGCATGCCTGACTCTCCCTTGGGAGAGGCTCTGCTCATAACGCCTCTTCGAATATAGCACTTTCCTGGGTACGAAGCACTATCATACCCATGAACGCCTTTGAGCCTTAGAACAACCCTGTGAAGTGGGTAAGGATGGTGTTATTATCTGCAATTAACAGACGAGACAACCAAGGCTCAGAAGCTTACCTGATCCCCATGAAGGAGTCAAAGGAAGCATCATTATCCCATTTTACAGATGATGCAACTGGAATGCAGAGACTTAAGAAAATATGGCTAAAAACTGGTGGAGCCAGGACAGGCCTTGACTCTTTTCCTCAATGGCCATTGATTTCATTGTTGCTTCCGGGGTGGGAGCAGTTGTGGTGCCCAATAAAAAGGAGGGTCTGGATATGATGTTTTGATGGGGGGAGGGTTGCAGAGGCCTGGAAGGGCTGGAACCTGGAGACTCAACGTCCCTGACTGGCCTTGGTCCCTGACTGGGTAAGATTGAGGATGGAGGGACAGAGGAATATCCAGAAGGGACAGGGAGCTGAGGACAAACACTTCCCACTCCATGGTTTGGCCTTGGTGGAGTCTGGAGGCAGTGCTGAGGGAGGAAGCCTAGGCTCTGCCAAGGCACAGGACGTGCGCAGCGTCTGGACCAGGGGTGAGTCATTCTCCCCAGGCTGCTTTTACTATTAGGACTGAGTTGAAATTACCAGGAAAAACCTGTTGGGAGAAGGAAAATAACACTCCAATTTCCCATGGCCATTCCCTTAGGTTTCTGAAGAGGAAGCCCTCGGTTCCAGCAGCCTGCATATTGAAAGAAGGGGGTGAGAGAGGATGTCTCTGAATGGAAACTGGATCTTCTCTGTTCCACGATTTCTGTTTAGAAGTTGGTGCTAGGAGAGGGGTTCATGTGAGGAACACAGGAGGGATGAAACCTCTTGAGCCATACACTGACCTCATTTGGAAAGCCCTAATGAGTCCATTTCCTGAGCAACAAACCTCTGTGAATGTGTGTCACTGGGAGCAGGGTCTGTCTTGTGAAACAGTCCAGATGGCCAGGGACAACTGGGAAGCGCCTGGTTGGGAGGGGCTCCTCCAACCAGTGGAGTTTGGGCCCTCAGAGATTTTTAAATGCACTCAAGTAGTGTTATCCACGCAGGAAGTTGAAGGTTTGATCTCTGAGGCAGGAATTAACAACCAGCATACAATGGGTTAGGCTTGGGCCCTGGTGTGGAGTGAGAAGAAGGGTGGCCCTGTGCCCATGTTTCTTCCTCAGGCCTGACCTGGCTGCCTATGACTCACGATCCGTATTCCTCTGCCACACCCCTGCCTGGAGTGAACAGTGCTGGCGCATCAGCTGAATCCCCTGATTCTTGAGCCTCACCTGCTTCCTATGGAATGAAATGGTTTTTAATGAGGATGGTGATGTGAGCCAGGTGGGGCCTCCTGTTTGTCTTGGCCACACCAGGCCTTGAGCTCATTTGCCCTCTAGTGCTGGCTCCTCCCTCTGGTGCACAGCTCCTAATGCTGTGACCTGTGGTCCCCACTCTTCTGTAGCCTTCCCTTTGTTGTCATGTTGCAGTTTGATGAAAGTGGTGCCTGCCTGTGGGTCTCATCACTGATTTTCTTCCTCATGAAATGCCTCCAGGTCTTATGCTTACTCAACGGCCAGCAGACTGGGAAAGGCCATGGGAGATGGACAGGGTTGTGGAGGGCAGTTCATGTCTCTGGGTCAGTTATGAAACCCCTGGAGAAAAGCTGCAGCCTCACAAAAGAGAGGTGTGCACCTGTTTTGGGATCCTCTTGAAGGATTTGGAAGCATCATGGATCTCTATTGAAAATCCCCTCCTGCTTCCTGGAAGCTGGGTAGCTGGCAAGTGGCCTGTGGCCTGGTTCTAGGTCTTGTTCAAGGTTCCTGCCATGAGATTCTTTGTTTCTAACTTGGCAGCTCTAGGAATCAGTCTGGTCCACCAATGAGCCTTACTTGGCCTGCTAGTACTTATACATTTAAAAAATATGTTAGAAATATTTAAATATCAGGATATTGATGCTAAGAAAGTAAAGATGTGTGGTTTCCTTTAGAAAACCAGAGTGTGGGTGCAAAGTCTCACATGACAGTCATTAGCAGTCTCCCTGAGATAGGGTGTGAGTTCTCTAATTAGCCACAGGCCCCACCTGGTCCACTTACTGCTTTGCCTTTAAAAGCACTTGTGTTCACCATCCCTGATGAGGCCTCTAGAATGTCAGGGCGGGGAGAGGTCTTAGTGACTATGGAGTTCCAATGTCTGCTTGAAATGGAGACCCAAGGAGGGGCAGACTTGCCCAGGGTTGTGTGGTCTAGGGTCAGGGCTGCTATTCCCTTAGTGKACCATCTTCCACCAGGGCCTCTTGGCACTTCACAACTGAGCCACCATGAATGAAGAGAGCCAGGAGAYCCTGTCTTGCCTTAAGCACCATTCTTACTAACTGAATATGAGTCTTTAGTATGTGCTGTCTGTGGGTCTGGGACACCAATATTATGTCACATAAAATGTGTGTCTGATTCCATCCTTTAGCAACTACTAAGGAATGCTCCTCCCTCCCCACCACACACACTTTCCAGAGACAGATCTTAAGTCACCCAGAGCCATGACMGTATTCTAAGTCTCTGGATATTGTTGGGGTTGGAAAGGGTATTGACCTCCCACTCCAGCTACTTGAGAATCCATGGATCAAAGCCAAGAGGAAATGGGACTGTATCATATAAAGTAGCACCCTAACATCTTAATGGCTTTATTCAATAGAAGATTATTTCCTGCTCAGTAAGTCCCAGACAGGGGCTCCTAATCATCAGGTGGATCTCCTTCAGGTAGTGATCCAAAGACCCAGGCTTGTTCCAACTTATGGTTCCACCATCTTCAACACACAGATCCACTGATTTCCGTGAAGGGGGAAGAGCAGGGAAGAGTGGCAGGTCTTTAGGAGTCAAGCCTACACTTACCATTCATCACTTCTATTCACGTCCACTCAGGCCTATGGCCACCCGTAACTGCATGGGAGCCTGGGAATTAATTTAGCGCTGTGCCTAGGGGAAAGAAGAAATGGCTGGTCGATCAGTCACTAGAGACTCCTGGTAGCATACACATCCATTCAATGGCCAAAGCAATGTTCTTTCCATTCTCACCACCCCTTTGCCTGGTTAGGTCTACTTGAGTTTTCCCCTGCACCAYTACAAAGGGAATCATCCCCTGACTGGCTCCTTACAGCACTCTTATCCACTTTTCTAAAAACTGCCAGAATAATCCTCCTAGAACTACTGGAATCCATGATATGCTCTTGTAAATTGGTTTTAGAAGGGCAAAGGAAGGCCACGATCTTTTATTTTTCTCTAAAAATTGCAACATTATGTAGAAATCCGAACTAGACCAAGCAGGGACATTAATGATTAAATTACTTATATTACCAAAACATTTGTATTTTCAAAGTTATCACAGGATCCTAATAGATGTCAAGGATACTTGCTTAACAGAAACCTGGATTACAAGATCGAGGTATATTAAGACTTGAGGGATGCTTATGTATTACTTAATCCAATCCCAATATTAATCCAATCCCAATACTTTGGGATCACATCTCTTACCCAGAGCAAGGTTCACCTGGATTTAGGACAGTCTTATGTTCTCTAATTCTCATCTTTTCAGGACCTTAATGCCACAATTATCTACTTCTACCTTATAGACAACCTTTCTTTTTTTATTTTCCCCCAAACTTTTCAGCATCTCCCATCCTAAATCCTCCCCGTCAGCAGAAACCTGTATGGCTTTGTGATCTAACCCTGTCTCCTCTACACTCCATCTCCTCTGCTCTCTTCTACTCTGCAAACCAACTCTGGTCTTATTGAGATCTGCCTCTAGCCACTGGAGTAGATTGTGCCTGCTATCTTCGTTATTCTGCAGAAGTGTCTCCATTTGTCCAGTTGAATTTTCTCCCCACCCCCCGGCAACCCCWGGCCTTCCTTTAGGTCTCAACACAGGCTTTAGGAGGCCTTTTCTGGGTAAGTGTTTCTGGATAAATGTGACTTCTCTGTACCATTGATCACAGTCTAATTCATTATATATTTACTTGTCGTCCTCCCTGGAGCTCACAGACTGTCTTCTGCACAGCAACCCCAGAGCCTGGCACTTGTAGGGACTCAATAAAGGAGAGTTGAGTGACTGAATGGATTCAGCTTAATTACACAGGATGAACTGGCTGTCTGTTCACTGTGCCTTCAGGGCTTGGTGTCCATGTGGTTCAGCGTTGGGCGTATTTCACCCAGTGGGATGTCGGTCTCCAGTGTGAGGCTGGAGGTGGAAGAAGAGACCTTGTTCTTACCTGGAATCAAGTCCACTCCCCTCAAGTGCTAGGCTCTGTGTCAATGTCAAGTCTGCAGACGAGGACAAGAGGCAGAAGTCACCCTGCTCCTTCCCACCAGGGAAGGCTATTGCTTCAACTTTTGGCCTCAATCCACTGGGTCCACAGTTTTCTCTGGGGAAATGTAGACATTCTTGGGCCTTTCTTTCTTGTGGTGAGAAGTGCTGAACATGAAAACCATTTGTGATGCTCGCTCTCCTCAGACATAACTTGGTTGGAACTTCAGTCTCCCTGAGTCCAGAAGCACAGAAGGGTCCTCATCTCCCAACCCAGTCACAAGTTCCTCTCTCAGGGCCTGAAGCTACAGTTATGTTCTGAGCTGGGCTCCCCAAACACAGGGGTGGCTACCAGAGTGTCTTGTTCATCTTGTTTCATGTGCTGTTGATAATTCCAGAACCTGTCATTTTGGCTCACCTTAGCCTTTTTATTTTTAGGTATTTCTGGGATAAGTCCCGAGGCTCCTTGAATGACTCCATAATGCTGCTTCCCCAGGGCCCTCCTGGAGCACTTGCGTGTGGCTGGCTCCCCACTGTTTGCCAGGAACTTTCTTGGTTCTAGCATAGAAAGACTTACACTCTGGGGAACTGCTTGGGATAAACTGGGAAGGATGATCACCCTCAGCATGTGCTTCCCATCTATCTCCTCAGGTCCACAATCTGCAGGAGCTCCGGCGCAGTGCCTCGCTGGCCACCAAGGTCTTTATCCAGAGAGACTATAGCGATGGGACCATTTGTCAGTTCCAGACCAAATTCCCCCCGGAGCTGGACAGCCGGGTAAGGATGCCCTTTTCTAAACTGGAGACCCAGGGCTGTGATGAAACCGAGGATCTTACTGGAATGCATATTTTTTCCAGGATCATGTGACACATAATATAAGATACATAACTTGTTCAACCTCTTCAAATGGAGGAATAAAAAAAAGCTGTGAACATTGTCTTGCTGTCTCTTCATAGAAAAAAAAAAAAAACACCCCTCAGAGATTTTCCAGTCTAGCAGCTCTCAAATTTCAGTTGCATGAGAAGCATCTAGAGAACTTGTTAAACAAATGTGAATTCCCAAGTCCTACAGGGTGATATTATGTGTCACCCAGAGATGCTGATTCAGTTGGATGGTGGTTATGGAATCATTTATCGACAGCCATTCTTTTTTTATTAAATATTTTTTTTTGCTTATAGGTGGATGTAATACTTTTATTTTATTTTTATATGGTGCTGAGAATCAAACCCAGGGCCTCACACGTGCCAGGTGAGCATTCTACCACTGAGCCACAACCCCAGCCCTCGACAGCCTTCTTTACCTTGGCTGAACATTGGAATTTCTTGCAGAGTTAAAAAAAAATCCTGATGTCCTGGCTATACCCCAAATCAATTAAATCAGATTCTTTGGGAGAGGGGCCCAGGCATCAGCATTGTTCTAAATTTTAATTTTATTTTATTCATAATTGTTTGAATTAAAAAAAAATTTTGTTTTGGTACCAGGGATTGAACCCAGGGGCACTTAACCACTAAGCCACATTAGCAGCTGTTTTTATTTTGACATAGGGTCTCGATAAGTTGCTTAGGGCCTCACCAAATTGCTGAGGCTAACTTTAAACTTGCAATCCTCCTGCCTCAGCCTCCCAAGCAGCTGGGATTTGGGTGTGTACCACCATGCTGGCTCTATTTTTCTTTTTGAGGAGGAATTCCCAGGTAAATTGGAATCAAGTGGTTCAAAGGTCATGCTCTGAGGGTTGCTGGTGTGGTGTTTCTTCACACATTAGGGTCACCTGGGAGCTTTGGGGAAAGCTACCTTGCAGGGTATCTACTTGGGTAGGGTAGGGCAGTGACAGTCTTTGCTGCTCTGAACCATCCTCCTCCTTCCCAGATTATTTGAATCAAAATCTCTTGGGGGTGAGACTTGTGCACCTTAGGCCTTACAACCTGCTCAGATGATTTTATTATGCTGCCAGAAATGAGCACTACTAAGCCCTTGTCTGTGGGCTCATTAGCAGTGCAAGATCTCAAAGTCTACCTTGGATCTCCTGCATCTGAATCTGCATTTTAATGAGATCCTTAGGTTATGTATATATGCATTAAAACTTGGGAAGCATCACATCAGTCCATTTTCTCAAGGAAACTAAGGGTTGGAAAGAGGAAGTGACATACCTAAGTTAGACAGCAACAGAAGGGCCTGGGGCCTTGCCATTCTGCTTTTTCACACAACTCTGATTTTCTTACGCACGCGATGGCATCTTCAGTGGGTGTAGATAAACTAGATGCTGTGTGATCAGAGCTGTGGCAGGGAAGGCTGGGAACCCAGAGGGAGAGTGGGGGGCTTCTTTTCCCTCCTCCCTGCCTTGCACAAAGGGGAGAGCCAGTTGTTCCACCTCTGTCTGCTGAGTGTCACCAAAGGCAGGCAGCCAAAGGCTCTGGTCTCAGTCATTACCTCCAGGCCAGGCACAGGGGGGCCCTCAAGGACCACAGGTGCTTGTGAAGCATTACTGTGGAGTTTTGTTCCTGTTTTGGGGGTGATGYAGCCCCTGCCCAAGGCTGCCTTAGAATTGGCCTGGGATTAGGAAGGGAGGAGGGCACRTCCTGATCCTTCCACTCAGCAACCCAGGCAGGTCTGAAGTATTTCACCAAGTATTTATTAGGCTCCTGCCATGTATTAGGCACTGGGGATAGAGGAATGGAGTTGTGGTCTCTATTTTTTAGTAGATGATACAGAAAATAGAAAAGGAAGTAGGTAAACACATAGTAGCTCAGGTGGTATGAATATTAGAAGAAGGGGATGGTTCCCAGGTTCCCAGGGGTAAGGTGTCCTGGGAGAGGGGAGTGTGCAGGAGAAGCTGGAGGGAAGTAAGGGACRAGCCCTGGGGTGTGCAGGGAGAGTGCTACAGCTGCGCACAGGCACAAAGGGCCCAAGATGTTTTCAATAAGCAGGGGGTGGGTGCAGAGGATAGCAGGAGTGGGCTCCATGGTGTGGCAGGGTCAGGCTATGAGACCCTGGCAGGCACTGTTAGGACTTCTTGGATTTTACTTGGAGTGATGTGGGAAGACTGGAAGGTGTGGCATGACTCATTTGAGTAGGGTAGGGCAGGAAATTATGGCAGGGGTAGGGCAGGGAGGGCCAGGGTAAGGCCAGAGATGGAGATGGCTAAGGCCAAGGAGCACTAGGTCCATTTAGTCTCAGGACCATAGGCAGTCCTCATTTATAAAATGAGGATGGCAGTAGTACTTTTCTGATAGAATTATTAGGAAGGGTAACTTAGAGTACATAAAACATGCCCAGCTGAATTTGCCTACAATCCCAAGGGCTTAGGAGGCTGAGGAAAATTCAAAGCCAGCCTCAGCAACTTAGTGAAGCCATAAGCAACTTAGTAAGACTTTCTCAAAATAAAAAAAAATTCAAAAGGGGGGCTGATAATGTGGCCCAGTGATTAAGCACCTCTGGGTTCAATCCCCAGTATCAAAAAAAAAAAAAAAAAAAAAAAAAAAAAGCTTAGTACACATAAAGTGCTTAATAAAGATTAGCTATCATTATTCCAGATGTGCAGGAGAGGACATCTTCTCAGTTGTCCACACACCCTGGCTGTGCTGTGCAGGGTGACTTATTAGCTAGGAGGGAATGTCCCCTCCTGGAGAGACTCTCTGGAGGTCTCACCTGATCAGTCTCATGCAGGTGGGCCCCAGAAGACACATGGAGGACCCCTAGAAATTTGGTCCTGAACTCTGACATGACCATCAAAATGGGAAGTGACGAAGTCCCTACAACACTTGGCTGAGCTTCTGCGGAAAGCATCTGCAATATCACAGGAGTCTCTTAATCCTAAGGGAGGCAAACAGCTATTCTTATTCCCATTTTATAGATGAGGAAACTGAAGACTGGCGTAAGAAAGTGGTCAGTCAAGGTTGCAAAACTAGTCAATGACCAGGTCTGGACTGGTTGTGGCCTCCTGCCTCCCAGTCCAGGGTTCCTTCTGTTCCACCTGTAGCCTTTCTGTCTTACTGTGTGGCTATATGTCATCTCTCCCCCATTTGTGACCCCACCACTGTCATCTGAGCCCCACCTGTGTCTGTCCACACTCCAGGAAGGCTAACCTTGGCTTGGATTTGTCCTTTTCTCCCTCCAGATTGAGCGACAGCTCTTTGAGGAGACTGTGAAGACTCTCAATGGCTTCTACGCAGAGGCAGAGAAGATTGGGGGAAGCTCCTACCTCGAGGGCTGCCTGGCTTGTGCCACAGCCTACTTCATCTTCCTCTGCATGGAGACCCACTATGAGAAGGTGGTGCCTCTCCAGCCTCCCTGTGTCTCCCACCCCACCGGCTTCACCGCTGCACGGTCACCCTCACTGGCCCCTGTTTTTGCAGGTTCTCAAGAAGATCTCCCGCTACATCCAGGAGCAGAATGAGAAGATCTTTGCGCCTCGAGGCCTCCTGCTCACGGACCCCGTGGAGCGCGGGATGAGGGTTGTATCCTTGCTGGCTCTTCTGTGCCAGGGCACCGAGCTGCTAACTGGGGGTTCCCTGGGGAGGCTTCCAGAAAATGGGAGCTACCCTAGGAGTCTCGCTGGCATCTGCACGGCACTGGTCTTTGGCCCCAATCCACCATAAGTTATTGGGGTGAGTTTCAGGGTCTGCACTTACTGAGCCCATGTAATCAGTGCTTAATATACACCAGGTGCCACAGTAAGGGCTTTGAAACTATGAATTCATGTAATTCTCTTCACCACACCCTCAGGTAGGCAGTTCTTATTCTCCTTTATCTATCTGGACGCTGAAGTTAAATAACTGGCTCAAGGTCGCCCAGCAGGTCAGWATCAGACCCAGGATTTGAGCTCAGGCCCACCCTTAACCATAAGGCTGTTTCAGCTTTCAAGAAATATGTAAATCATCTCATGAATATGCAAACATTCCTCATTTAATTTCCCATAATGGGTCCCATTGTTCCTTATTCACAGGTGAGAAGAACTGGGTCTAGGTGGGAGACTGGGCAAGGGGTGGGCCAGAGTTCTGCTGGTTCTATTTAGAACAGCAGGGGGACAGGTGTGCCCACATTCCTCCCTCCTGCCCCCAGCAACAACAAGAGCAGAATAGTTAATTTTACTTTCAAATGGAGAAGAAAAAGAGGAAAGAAAACAAAACGTCCAGAAACCACACATATAGAGCTTCGTGAGCAATGCTTCTTTCCCCTGAGTCTGTCCCATGTGGCAGGTAGAGTGCTTAGTGGGTACCTACATAGTTAATCTTCACAGTAACCCAAAGGTTCTATTATTATTCCCATTCGACAGACCAATAATTGATCGTTAAGGAGAGACTGGCCTAGCTTGTGAGTGGGCGAGGCAGGATTTGAATGCAGCGCACTGAAGTCCTCATATTTCTGGCGCAGTTACACCACCTCGGTGGCACAGGGGTGGCCTGCGATAGATACTGCTCTATGAGGGCGGGGGCCCTGCCTGGTGTGATCGGGGCTGTGGACCCGGCTCAGCGCTCAGCGACTCATTTAGCTGAGTGCGTGGACACCCGCAGCTCCAGGCCTGCCCAGCCCCGCTGTCCAGGAAGCGGCGCGAGCTCATGGCCTCTGTGCTTAGCTGGGTTCACACCGGCCCCTGCTCAGCGCGGGCKGCTCTCAGCGCTCCTTAACCCAGGACCGCAGATCGAGATCTCCATCTATGAGGACCGGTGCAGCAGTGGCAGCTCCAGCAGCGGCAGCAGCAGCGGCAGCGGTGGCAGCAGCAGCGCTGGGGGTGGCGGGGCGGGGGCCCGGTGACTGGCCGAGAGTCCCTGCAGGGAGGTGTATGGCCGGAGTGAGGGCCTCGCAGACCTGCGGCGGCTGCGCTATCAGAGCACCCGCTTCTAAGTCTTCTCTGGGTCTACCAAGCTGACCAGGTTGGAAGTGAGAGCGACTGTCCCTGTGTTTCCTGTGAGCSCTCAGCTCAAGCTCCCAGCCCCTTCCCCGCTGGCAGGATTGGTCCACTTCCTGACCTGGGGAAAGCTGAGGTGGGGAGAACACTGTTTGGACAATCCCTCTCTTCCTTGGCTTCTTTCCCAACACCCCCGAGGGAGGCTTAGAGAATTCCCACCCTGCATGATCCTTCACCCCAAAGCCAACATCCACCAGGACTCTCTTCCTTTGCCCCTGCTCCCAGTGCTGTCTTTCAGTGTCAGCTTTTTATTTGAGGCCACTTCAGGGTCCCTGCCTGTCTATGATGCCACTTCTGCCAAATTGGAGATCTGGGGAGATGGGCATCTTGGTGGGGATCTATTCAGCTGCTCCTGACCTCGTCCAGATCTGTGGCTTCCCTGTCTTCCACCCAGAGTTGGAAGCCCATCTGAGCCTTGCCAAAAAGTATCCAGCTTTGAGACTTTCAGGACACCTGTCACTGGTTGAGGGGAATACACTCTGGGCTCTGGAAGGTTCTATGGGGGTCTGGACAAACTTTGTGGAAAGATGTGGCCAGGGAAGTTAGAATTTCCTGAACCAGAGCCAATTTTCAGATTTTAGGACCTGTGTGTGYGTGCGCACGTGTGTGTAAGCATGCACATTTGTGAATATGCACATGCGTAAGCATGCACGTGTGCWCCAGTGTATAAATGTAAGTGCACCATGTGAGTGGGTGCATACACAGGAGTGTATGTGAGTGTGTGTGTGTGCCCGTGTATAAATGTGTTTGAGTGCATATGTGTACCTGAGTACACATGTATAAAGTGTGAATGTGAGTGCAYGTGAACACATGTGTAGGCATGGTGTGTGTGTGTGAGTGTACCTGTGTGCATGAGTATGCAGAGATGAGTGTGACTAAGTGTGAGCATGTGAGYACTTGTATGAGTGCATGTGTCTGTGTGTGAGAGTGCACTTGTGTTCCCCCTCGGCTGCCAGGCTGACTGCCCAGCTGACTGCCCAGCTCTGCATCCTGCCRTGTTGTGTTACACAATGGTAGATGGTGTGGCTTCTTTCCCATGTCAGTCCTCACCCCTTGTTGGGGGCTGTCAGCCTGGATCTTTCTCCTGGCCTCTCCCCCACCTTCAGACTCTACTGTGCACATTCTAGCAGAAGAGAAGTTAGGGTCCTGGAGAGCAGAGCCAACCTTCCAGTGGCCTTCAGTGTACCTCTCCCAGCCCCTGTGATGAGACAGTGGGGCCACAGATGCTGCATATTCAGCCCACCCAGGTGCCAGGGCTCTTTAAAACCATGCAGGTGAAACGTTCTTGGACATTCAAAGGAGGTGGCAACTAGCAGGGGCAAAGGTAAATTCTCACTGCAAAGACAGCAGGAATGTCCAGCTATTGGTGCTCTGGCTCCTGAAGTCCAGGGGAGCCAGTAGGAAGGGGGCAGCCTGGCATCTGGGACCCAGAAGATGGACAGAAAGGGGCTGCCTACCTCACCTGGCAGGAGGTGCTAGAAGTGGACATGAAACACCAGCCACTGCAGGTAGCTTTCTGGAACCAAAGAGGGGCCTGGTTTTCATCTGGAGGTGGGAGCAGCAGAGGGAGCAAACACCTACCCAGAGAGCTGGAGAGGGTGGCCCAGCCCTTGAGGGCTCAGGGAGTCTGGGTCACAGGGAGTCCTGGTGCAAGGAGCTCCCTGGAGAGCTGTAGTGCAGTGGGCTCTGTTGCAGCCCCTGACTCCTGGCCATGGCCRATGCAGCCCTGGCCCACTGTTGGCTGAGCATTGAGTCTGATCATGCACCTCCGGTGGGAGGGTGGGTGGGGCACAGGCCAAACAGTAGCCTTTTGTTTTATTTCTTTTTCCAATAAAGGGACTTGCCCAGTTTGAGTCTCATGCTGTCTTATCTGCCCCATGATGATGAGGGCCAGTTCCATATTCTAGGATCATGTGGGGAGGGGCTTGGCTGTCTGAGTCAGCTGGCCTAGCATGTACTTGAGGTAGCAGAACTGACACAGGGCTCGGATGGGCCTGTCTTCTTGAGTTTAGGGTTTAGTGGGGTGGTCGGCCTGTCAGGCTTTCTAATCTGATCTTTGGGTGAGTCTGCAGTCTTGGGTTGCCAGAACAGGTTCAAACTGAAAGCCAGGCCAAAAGTAATTAGTGAAKAAGATACTGACCAATTTTTGAGTTCTTACCCTGGGTTGGGCCCTGTTAGGAGTTGGATCCCATGAGTTACTCAGTACTAAAGAATGGAAAGTAGGTAGGTGTTGGAGCCCAGCAGCTATGTCTTGGAGTTTATAAAACAAAACACTAATTGAGTACCTACTGTGTGCCAGGTACTTTGTTAAAACCATATGCTAGGAACTGGAGAGGATTTTAAGGTTACCTGYGTCTTTTCCTAGAAGTGTAATGAGAGGCTGAAAGACTTGCCTCGTCACAAAGCTGGTTGATGATCTTAGAATGGAAGTTTCCTGACCCAGTGGGTAGTAACCAGGTAGGAAGCTGCTTGAAGCTTCAGGAGGCTGGGGTCACACAGGTCTGTAGGCCAGAGAGGGCCTCATCAGACGATGGGGAGAGCAGCTCTGGTCTCTGGGGTGGGCCTAGGGGGTCCCCTCCAGATGGTGCTGTGAACTCCAAGTGATTTTCAGGCTTCTACTCGCTGCCCATAAGGAACAGTTTGGTATTTACCTGAGGCTTGGGCCGGCTGGACTTTTGCCTGTGCTCAAGCCTGGGCTGTGGGRGCTGTTCTCTAACCAGTGTGGAGGTTCATTCTCTAGTGCTTTTTGGGGTAGGATGTCTATTCTATACCAAGGTCAGACTTGAACCCCAGCCAAGCTGTTTTAGGGAAGAAGTGCTGTAGATGGGTGAGGATTTCCAAAGTAGAAAACCCACTCTGAGTGCTAATCTGGCAGAGAGTTCTTTGACCTTCCTGCTTTCAAATATTGGCAATAATGATAATGATAACAAACAAAAGTATCTAACATTTATTTAACAGCCTCATCTGGGCTAAGGTACGAGGCTAGGACTCTATATAGTTCATCATTGAATCATCACAACAACCCTCTTTGGTGTGGRTTATTACTATTCCCAGATGAGGAGACTGAGGTCATAGAAGTTAAATTGCCCAGAGCCACATAACTAGGAAGTGGCAGAGCTTGACTTTGAACCTAGACAGTCTGATTTCAAACTGTGGGGAAGTGGATCAATACATCTAGCTTCAGAGGCCTCTGCAGGCATCATCAGGTTGGGATCTGGTAGATTCCCAGGAAAGGACCTGAGCTTTGGGCTCCAAGTTGGGGCTAGTCCCTCCTTGCACAGGGCATTRCAGGAGTGTGGGTGGGGTGTGCTCATGGATTTCTGGGACCAACAGGGACATCCTGGTAAAGGTCAATGGAAAGACCCAATTCTGCAGACCTGTGGGGATGTGGCTTCTCTTRGCTGGCTCAGTGATGGGGACAGAGACTTGGGTCTGATTGTAGCCTTGTGTTTCCTGCATCCCTCTTGCTGGCCAGGGACAGGCCCTAAAAGGATCAATGAAACAGAAGAACTGTGATCTTGCCTCAGCCAAATTGTGCTCCCCTTCCCTGTCCCCTGCTGTCCCTTCCCAAGGGCACATCCCACCTGGCATGCCCCAAGCAGTTTTTGCTGCACCTTTCTCTCTTCACTGGGCCAGCTTCCTCCCTTGGCCAAAGGCAGGTGTGTGTGAAGACAGGGAGGGCTTGCAGAAGCTCCAGTGCCGCCCAGTGGCGGAATCATGTGCTGCACCTGGGAGTCAAAAGCAGTGGCCCGCAGACCCACTTGGCTGCTGTGAAACTTCACTAACAGCCCCCAAACCAGCAGCTGCTGCCACCTGCAAGAAGTTTTCTGTAGTTTCTGGAGGTGCASGGTGAGGGTGGAGTCCACCAGTGGCCACTCTTCCAACATGGGGCCAGTGCTGTGCTGACTTCTGGGCACCCACTGGTCTGGGTACTCCTCTCCCTGTCCATATCTTTGAAAGGACTCCAAGTGAGAAGGGTCTGGGCAGGAGGCACCCTCACTGGGGTTTGGCCTTGCTATTTGTCCAAGGATTAGACAAAACAAATACYACTCCAAGTCACTCCAGAGTGTGTGCTGTGGCTTCGTGGCAGACGGTGGAGACTCCTAGAATCCGTTTCCTTGATTGTAAGGCAGGGTACTGACACTTTACAGGATTGTCCAGACCTGCATTTTCAACCTTGAATGAAATGGGTGTCACCCAAAGCATGACCAACAGCCAAAGCTTGGTCCTACCTCTTGAGACTCTGTTTTAATTGTTTTGGGCACACAGAGCCTGTCATCAGGATTTTAAAACCTCCCCAGGGATTCTAATGTGAAGGCAAGGTCAAGAACCCCTCATTTCATCAGCATCAAGAACCTATGGGCCTTCCAGGGGTCTCCAAAAATGTCTGAAACCTGAATAAAAAATTTACCAGTTCCCCAAAAGCAACCAGATATAGGATGAGCACAAACTGTTTGATCCCACATAAAGCAAATTGCATCAAACTTATCTGTTCGTGGCTCCCCTGGCAGAAGTGGTGAATGGATGGGACCTGGGGACTCCTGATGTTCTGCTTCTTGGCCAGAATACTCATAACCCAGGGGYACTCACTTCACAAAAATCCATTGTGCTATACACTTAAGATCTGTGTATTTTTCTGTACGTGTGATAAATTTCAATAAAATTTACCAAAAAGTGTATTGGCTCCAAAATAGGAAAAGAAAGCACAAAATTGAAATTACCATTTTATTAAAGATCTACAAATATCATGCATTATGTCAAATGAGACAGCTGTGAYTCAACTTGATGTRTGTACATACATATATGTGTATGCACATCTCTGTGTATTTGATATTTACTCTGGGTTGTGGATGTATACAAAAGTGTTTGATATGGCGAGGGTTGGGAGAGTGGGATCCAAAAGAGAAGGTCCATGGTGCCTAAGAATCTTAAAAACAT